TTATTGGTAAACATGAATCAGGTAATTGCAATAATTGTGGTATACCAGAGACTGTGGAACATATCCTATTACATTGTGAAGCATATGAAAGAGAAAGAATGCGATTAATAGAAGAATTAAGTTTGTTGAATATTGAAAGAATAACAATTAAGACAATACTAGAGTATGCTCCAGCACAGTATAAAGTCTATAATGCAATTATTAATTATTTGAAAGCAATAGGTTTAATAAATAGAATTTGAAGATCACATAATGAAGTATATAAAATAATTGTATCCTTGTGTAATACTCCTTTGGTCAAACTAAAGGTTATTTGATTCATTGTTTTATTTTAATTGTTTTATTTTTTATTTTATTTTTTTCTATATGCTGTCACCAATATACGTCATGCTCCACACTCCAGTCCAGTAGGTGGCGGAAATGCACCTTTTAAGTGGGTTTGCCAACCGCCATTAAAAAGAAAAGAAGAAGAAGAATGCAGCGTTAACGTCTGTGTAAACTACTGTACCGCGCGCTGTTTGATTTCGTTCAGGTAGTCCTTGTGTCACACGCTGATGTTCAACGTTGACTACTTAAAGCTCTTTCGTTTCTCGGTTCAGCATACTATCGATGGCAACACATTATATATGACACGTATTATAATTCGCTAATGTCTTTGTCTTATTCGTGTGTTTTGGATTAATGAACTGTATTATTGAAGTCAACATTCATGTTTAGTGTCACCTTATAAACCCTAATCTGCAAATACGTTAAGAGATTCAGAGAGCTCTGAGATGACGCCATGGTTTAAGTAGGCGTGCATATGAAGGGGGCGTGTCTAAGGAGCGCCATTTACAGCTGGCCAGCAATTGGCTTTCGCTTGTCTATTAGAATTCTGTTGCCATAGTGATTTGGTTTAAATGTCTGGCGCGAGAGGTGAGCGGATTCAGGATAGACTCAGAATTGCATAATTCAGTTTCAGTAGACTACTACTTTGCTATATAATGTACAATTTCTCTATTTTTTCTGCAGTCAAACGATAGTGAAATATGGTGAAGCGAATTCGGTCCGAATACATGAAGAAATTTAAAGATCCGAAATGGGACACTTACGCAAAATGTTATGAGGATTTGCTGAAGTACAGATTGTCGAGACGGCTGTTGGAGCAAGCGCACAACCCCTGGTTTTGGGGAGAATGGGGGAGCGAGACGGGCTCCAGTGGTAAATCTACTTCTCTAAATCAGAATAAAGTTGAACCTGAGAGGATCCATGATAAGAAAGCAGAACAATCTGCATGTGTGACACCAGAACCAGCAGCTGAACCAGAACCACAGGCAGAAGTACTGAGCAGAGGCACTACAGACACCAGTAAGTCCCGAGCTACAGGCTGTTATCTACTATTTTTAATCTTTTATATTATTCATATCTTTATAAAATAGTCTGTGTACTAGTGATGTTGTTAACTAAATCTTAAAAAATAGTTTTCGTTAATTGAAATAAATCTGAATAAATGTCAATATTAAATACAAGTATTAGAACAAAATGTCCATTTTAAAAACCTGAAAGAAAATTGCCAAAGGAACTGAAAAAGTTATTGAAACTAAAATGAAAGCTAAATAGAAATATATATATTAAAAAAATTGTCACAAAAGTACATAAAATTAAAGTTTAAACTAAAATAAAACCTGATAATATAAAATGAATAGTTTTTCTAATACTTATATTTATTTGCACTGCCATTTAAAAAAATTATCTTTGTGAATTTCTAACTTTCATTTAATATTAATATTTATGGTAGTAACAATACAGCTAGTATCATAAACACCTAGAATATCATGACATGCAGAGAGAAACATATAATTTTCAGCCCGTTTATATTAGAGAACCTCGCTTTACCTTATTGAAATTGACAATTTAGCATAATTTGCAAAATAATGTTCAAAACACAATGGAAAACTCGTCTTATTCAATGGATTTACAATGGAAAACTAAATAGCAAGGCATAAAGACAAGAAATTGTGGTACTTAATGAAAACTGCTTTATTAAAACACTTTTCAAAATGTAAAATTCCATGCAGATCTCTGTCTATTATCAACAGAGCTAGTTACCAGAGTTGCTGAGCAGAGTCATCAAGAGGGGGAGGAAGAGAGAGCCAGAGAAAGCTCTCCTGCTCTCAATCCAGAAACTGACACGCATATCCTCAACACACCAAAGAGCAAACGCCGCTCCTCACACAAGTATACAAGATCGAAGGTCAAGCCTCATGCAAACAAAGACCCTGAAAAAGAAAATCGTCACCCTTTTGCCCTGTATGGTGCAGGAGAGAGGCAGACAGATATGGCTTCCAAGAAAACCCATAATGTTGGTGCTGCAGCATCAACTGCAGAGGTGAGGATCCTTTCTGGAAGCATACCATATCATAAGAGAGCACTGACCAGTAAGAAATTTACTGGGGAAAAAATAGTAATATAATAAAAACTACTACAGTTTGGTTAACATAAGTAGTTACATGCTTAGTTTTCATCATTGGGACTTTAAAGGGATCATTCACTCAAAAATTTAAAATTCTGTCATTATATTACTATTATTTTAAAGGAATATCTTTGAAAGTCAATGTGGTCCAATCCTGTTTTGTAAGTAAATGATGACAGAATTTAAATTTTTGGGTAAAATATTCCTTTAAGTACTCATTTGCTTATCGTTATTCATGCATACTACATGCAGTGTTTCTTCTGTCTAGATCCATGAGTCAGCGTTGCGAGTAAAAACCAGACGGGAGGTGGAAAAACATTTGAAGAGATTTGGCAAACAAAGAGCCAGATCTGCTGACTTTGAAAATAACAGAAATAAGGTTGTCCCCGATTTCAACCCCTGGATGACGGAGTACATGCACTGCTTTTCAGCTCGTTCTCGGTAGTATTGCTTTCTGAAATCCTTTGAAAATGTCAGTGTCTATCTAACCCTCTCAGGCTAATCGACTTAAAACACTTCACATGATGACTGGCGCATCTGTCCAGCTCACTTCCCGTCTTCCAGAATGGGCCACAATGAATTATAACTCAAGGGTTTTTTAGGGGTTTATTTACACCATGGATATGTTGCATTTACTGGTACATATCAAACATGAAAACACCATCCATTGATGCTACAGGGCAAATTGTTAAACAATCACATGCCTTGTTGCATGATTTTTGTAGGGCTGCGTAGATTTACAGGCCATGAGATTTACCAGTGTCTCTTTGCACTTTTAGCCTATTAATAAGTGTTCAGTAATTGTCAGACAATTATAGACACATAATGTGATGTATTGTAATGTTGTGTATTACCTTCATTGTGTTAATAGGTTTAATGTAAAGAAATCTGTTTTGTACTTTACAGAAATCATTGGCACCAACATGAATCTTTGTAATCTGTTATAGTCTCACATTGGCAATCGATCCGTTATATTAATATCTGCTTTCTTTGATATGAGATGTATTATATTTTACTTGTATATTCACACTGAAGGTGCATTCCATGTGGTATTGCATCAGAACAGTAATATTACATAATGTAAAAAGTCACTGGTATCTGAAGCATGAAACATACACGGCAAAATGACAAATCAAGTTTGAATGAGACCATACACAGCAAAAGCAATTCCAGCTGTACATCAAGCATAACTTTCAGTGTGATGTTATTTGGTTTTTAGTAGCACTCAGGTATTTCTTGTATTTTATGTCATTTATTATTGAGAAATGATGATATTGGGATATTTGTACACCGTTTATATAAGGGTATTGAACTAAATTTGACTATTTTTAGTTCATCTCTGAACAAATGTGTTGTGTGAACAAATGTACAGGTATTTTTTTCCCATATCACATCTTCATAGTGAATTATGTCATGTACTATGTGAAGTGTTGGTTTTAGGGTAAAAACAATGAAGCCATAATGTTTACGAGCTACATTAATATGATTAATATCCATTCCACTGTCTGTTATGGAAGCAGTTGGGAAGGATATTAAAATATAAGCGTTTAGGTTACTGCCTGTGAAACTGAGATGTGTTTAAATGTGATGAGTTTTTTTTAAACACTTTCTTTATAAGGACACAGTATGGTAGTAAATGTGACCGTGGACCACAAAACCAGTCATAAGTTGCACGGGTATGTTTGTAGCAATAGCCAAAAATACATTGTATGGGTCAAAATGATCGATTTTTCTTTTATGCCAAAAATCATTAGGATATTAAGTAAAGATAATTTTCCATGAAGATATTTTGTAAATTTCCTACCATAAATATATTAAAACTTAATTTTTGATTAGTAATATGCATTGCTAAGAACTTTATTTGGACAAATTTAAAGGCGATTTTCTCAATATTTAGATTTTTTGCACCCTCAGATTCCAGATTTTCAAATAGTTGCATCTCGGCCAAATATTGTCCTATCCTAACAACCCCTACATCAATGGAAAGCTTATTTATTCAGATTTCAGATGATGTACAAATCTCAATTTTGAAAAATTTACATTTATGACTGGTTTTGTGGTCCAGGGTCACAAATGTGTCTGTTTTTAGTCTTAACTTTTTTAATAGGTTGCTGTTAATGGTGTTAAAGTAAAAGAAAGTATAACATTTTTTATAAGTGTATTATGGTTGTAAAAGTAGTTCTCATGTTTGTAGGTAAGGAAGTTTGTTCACAGGCTTGCTGCAGTAATATATGAAACTCTTTTCTCACCAATGCACAAGGCAGATTTTTATATTGCCAACTCATTACCGCATGCAGTTCCTGGACATCAGGATTCTGCAAGCTTGCCCAGACCTAATCCATGTGTCAGATCCAAGGAGCACTTAATTTTTTTTTTAATTTCATTAATTTGTTGCATGAAGAAAGCTGTCCAGAAAGTTTTACACAAATTACACTTATTTTACAAACACTGATTTTACATTAATCAGCTAAATTGTACATTTGATTGGGTAAGTTTTAAATCAAATCTTAATTCTTCACATCAGTGCTACAGAATTTATTTATTTAGATTTTTTTGAGGTCGATGTAAAGTGTCGACACAAGATTAATGAAAAACCAAGAACCAACTACCATTCAGTGCAGTGTTAAACATGACTATTGGCAATTGTCCCATTTTACATTTTTACAAACATAAAAGCTTGATAGAAAGACATAATGACAAGCATTATGAAGTCAAGTCCACAATGATTTATCATTAATTTTCAGTGCAAGCTTATTTGAGATATGTTCACTTAAAATGTATAGAGAAGTACAGGGGACAAGTAGATAAAAATAAGAAAATACATTTTCTCAACAAAACAAAACAAAAAAAAGGAGAGAAAAACAACACAATCTATTTTCGAAAACAAAGAAATCGGTTTAAACACAGTGTCATTCCAACAGACACCTTAAAATGGGACTGCAGCACAAGAATGCTTTACAATAAATATAGAGCATGTAACACTGATTTTGAAGCTGTTCATACTGACAATGTATTACAGTGCGATATGAAGGTAAGTGTGCACTGGCCCTTAAATTTAAACAAACATCCTAGCATCCTTTCCTAAAACATACGAACCAAAAAATAAAATACAACAGACATGGAAAAAAAATAAAAAGCAAATAAAAGGGAAACAATGTGTTAGCAAGATAATGCACGATAAACTCCATTGATAAGATTTACAGGTGCGTGCCATAAAGCAGGGATACAGTATGCCTAAGCTATATATATGCTATATATAGTCATTTATGAATATGTCGTAGCACTGCAACCATGAAACGTGCTCCACGGTGATAATAGAAACTCTTCTCTACACAACATCTACATATGGAAGAGGGAAAGACAGGGCAGGGGCTCAGTGCAGTATTCTCAGGGACAAGGGCCGGGTCTTTTAGCTACCCTCAGGGTTTTGGGTACCACAGATGTCTTGGCTTGGGCCCGAGGGGGACAGTAAACATTTTCCAGAGCCTTCTGGAGCACAGGGGGTCCCCCAGCATGTCAGAACAGGAGTAAAAGTAAGGTGAGGGAAACAGTCACTCCACCATGATGAGCCGTACGTCAAACTCCCCACTAATGTCCTCCTCCTCGTGTTCACAAAACCTGCCTTGGCCAAAGGACACAGAAAAAGTGCAGGTGATCATATAGACAGAGCCCTTTCTTCTTGTCTACAAACTGAAGGAGCTGCTTCCTAATCAGCTTGGATCTTCCTCTGGACACCTTGAATCTCTATTTCTAGCTCGCATTCCAAATAAGGCCCCTCAGAAACCCTGGAAAGCATTTGGGAGGATCTGGAGTTAAATATATCCATTCCCCTGACACTGTTTCTCATGTGGCATTTGACTGATAAGAGGGTGAAGGGGTTTGAAGGACTTGTTTGTCCTCAAGAGGGCCTGGAGAAGGTGAAACATTTGGCCATTTGTATGTGTGTGTGCTGGTGCTGCATCATCGTCACTCATTTGTAAGGCATGCAGAGGCAAACTTGAGCAGTGTTTGGTGGGTGTCAGTAACAAAAATAGCACCTCTTCTTGAAGAGAGCTCCTCCCTGCTAGGGCATGCCAAATACAGTAGAGATGCTGTGGGGCACCTATCAACATCCTTTTACAGACAGCGGTGAAAGGAAAGGCGCTGATTTTCAGACACAATGTATGGAAACACTTTGACTAAAGCTAAGATTATGTTTTTTTTGGTATCACTTTACAATACAGTTCAGTTCATTACCATTAGATAATACATTAGGAAACAACACTTTTTAAAGCATTTAATAATCTAGGTTCATTTACAAATATATAATTTTTTATACAACCATAAATGTAAAAACTGAATTAGTATACATACTATTCAAAAGTTTGGGGTTGGTAAGATTTTTGAATGTTTTTTGGAAGAAGTCTCTTATCCTCACCAATGCTGCATTTATTAATATTTTTTATTTTATTAAAAAAAAAAAAAAAAACTGTAATATTATTTCAATTCAAAATAACTGTTTTCTTTTTTAATATATTTTTAAAGAAATTTTATTCCTGTGATGTCAAAGCTGAAATGTCAACATCATTACTCCAGTTTTCCGTCTCACATGATCCTTCAGAAATCAATCTTGAGATTTTCAGCTCAAGAAACATTTCTGATTATTATCAGTGATGAAAAAGTGTTTTTACTTTTGAATGGCAATTTACGTAGAAATCAACATGAATCAAGATTAGTAAATGCTGTAAAAGTATTGCATTTGCTAAAATAAAGAACCTCACTATAAAGTGTTACCAGAATTTTTTACCATAAAAAGGGAAACGAACAACATCCTTTTTCAGAGGAAAAGGGTAATGAGAAAATCCAAACTAGTCGTGAGCAGAAATTAATGCAAAATAATTAAGTTATTGGAGAAATTGGGCCTCATTCAAAAAACACAACCAGTAAAGGTCTTAATTAATAAAAAATTCATTTCTGTAATATCTCATTCAATTCAATGCAACAATCTATATAAAAATGGTTTTAAAAACGATTACCACATAAATGTTACGTTCATATTTTCAGACCCATTGTTTTGTATTATTTTTTTATTTCACCTTAGATTCTTATATTGTTAACATTTAAGTGAAAAATGCAATCATTTAAGAAATGAAAATAGTGAGGAAAAAGTGAGAGAAAAATGAAAGTTCAAGCTAAAGACTGAAAATTTCAAATATGATTCAATTATTGAAAAAACAACAAGGACACTGAACAGAAAATAACCGTTACCACACCGAACAAGACACTTAAATCTAACATGCAGGGAATGATGTTCTGAGACATGTGAACAACTGTATCTGATTAAATCTGATTGCAGCACAGCTATTTTTAGTGGATGTTGCCGCTGTGAGTGGTACAGAGTGCCAGTGGAGGAAGAACAGTACTATTACCACCCTCATACATTCAAACTGTCACACTCATATCAGACCTTTTTCCTTTTAAGATATAAGATATCAAGGTTATAATATTAGCAACAAGTAGAAAATTAGTATCAAAGAATAAACATAACAAATGATTGCACTTCACAATGTTAAAAAAGTACTGAAACCCCATAGGACAGCTTCTAATATTTAAACCTCGGATCTGAAAAGTAAGTAGAGAGAGGAAGTAAACCCTCTGGACCTTCACCTGGTTGGTCAGCTGACTGGGATCTGTGTTAACAGCCACACTCCTGCACGCTCCCTGCTTGAGCCCATCTGGGAGAACGCAGCTGCCGCAACGCTGCATCTCCGTACTGGATTCCTGAACCCATCCGCTCCGGGTCCAGCTCGCCTACACAACCAAATGACAAGCACAGCAGCTCGATTCAAATGTTTTTGTAAGCTTATAAGCAACAGTAAAAGGCACTGGTATTTTTGTACCTGACTCTATTTTGTTAAGGATTTTCCGAGCACACTGGACAAAAGCTTCCTCCACGTTCTCCCCTGTTAGAGCACTGGTCTCCAAAAACATGAGCTCTGAAAGCAAAGATATAAACAATTACATCTGTTTTGTTAAATTAATCATATTCACTGAATGCAGTCTCAAAAAAAAAAAAAAAGTTCAAGAATGTGATTATATTGCAAAACATTCTATAATAGCGTTTATTTAGTATTATTTATATATTATTCTAGTATTTATTCATATTTTGAAGTGGATTTTATTTTTGTATTTTCATTTTGAGTAATTTTGTTATGTTCTTTTATAATTTTTATTAGTTTTTTATTTCTATTTTGCTTTCATTTATTTAGATTTGGCTGGAAAGGTTTTCTTTATTTTCATTTAGTTGCCATGGCAACATTTCCAAATGTCCGTTTTCCATTTAGTATTTCTATTTTATTTCAGCTTTATTTAAATGAATGCAAACAATTGTAATAATTTTAGTTAACAATAACACCACAGATCTACAAACACTCAGTATATCTACAATGGTAATGCACTAATAACCAATCACTGTTTTGCCTCTGAAAAAAGCCCTAGTGATCTCAATGCAGACAGTTGTGAGTCTATACTGGTTCACTAGTGAGCTCTTCATGTTTATGTTAGTAATACTATCCTGTAGTGACCTCTAGTGGTAAAGTCACAATATGAAAGCAGATACATTGTCAAATACCTCATTTTGAGCTATAAACATGCTTTAAAGGATATTATGGATAGAGGACTTGTATATTAGCCAAAAGCAATGGTTTTAAGTTAAAAACATCTTAATGATGGATTTCTTTATTACAAACACACAGATTTTCCCTTCACCAGATGTTAATTGATGGACTGGAGTCGTGTGGATTATTGTGATGCTTTTATCAGCTGTTTGAACTCTCATTCTGATGGCACCCATTCAAATAATTAGGTGCCACTACAATTCACTACAGTTGTTACCAGCCGGGAACTGCTTGTCTGACATACGCACCATTCTCTTGAGCGAAGCGCGAGGCCTCCAGAAAGGTGACTTCACGGTCAGCATCCAGATCTTTCTTATTTCCACACAGTATGATCACTATGTTCTGGCTGGCCAGCATCCTGGCATCTGTCAGCCAGTTGGTCAGAGCGTTGTATGTTTCTCGACTAACACCCAGAGACAGAAAGCGTGAAAAATCTATGCACTTCAGGATCTATAAACACATACCATAGTATAGCTCTAGGTAAATGTCCAGAAATATATGAATATCTGAGAAAAAAAAGAGCAATACACAATATTATGCAGATGCACTGGATAAACAAGTGTGACTTTACCTAGTGATGTCATACACGAGAAGAGCCCCTGCTGCCCCTCTGTAGTAGCTGCGTGTTACAGACCTGAGGAGAACAAACGTTAAGCCTCTGTAACATCAGCAAAAGTTTGTGATAACGGACGGTCAAATCTAGTGATAAACCAATATATCAGCCAAACAATTAAGTGGCTGATATTTGGTCATTTTAGAGATTAATGGAATTTGCCATTAGTTTCAGAAATAGATAATACTTCTCTTTTTCCCCAAATACACTACCATTCAAAAGCTGGGATTATTTTTAATCCTTTTATTCAACAAAGACGCAATCAACAATCAACAATCAATAATAAGCACCAAATCGGCATATTTGAATGGTTTCTGGAGGATCATTTGAGACTGAAGGCTGGAGTAATGGCTGCTGAAAATTCAATATTGTCATAACAGGAATAAATTATATATTAAACTGGAAAACAGTTATTGTAAATTGTAAAAATATTTCACAATATTGCTGTTTTTTACTGTATTTTTAATCAAATAAATGCAGCTTTGATGAGCATAAGAGGCATCCTTTAAAAATATTAAAACATCTTACTGACACCAAACTTTGGACTTTAATTAACTTTGAGTTAATTTTGAGTACATATGCGAAATAAATGCTTGCTTAAAGGCTGAACTGTCATTCACAAACACATTTAACTTCAAACAAAATAATCAATGAGGGAAAAAAATGTAGGGTGAGATTTATTTTTCATCTGGAATTCATTAAATTGTGAAAAGTACTAGAATGAAAAAAGCGAATGCATGTGCTAAAGTAAGTGCTAAAACATTCACGTCCAAATGATGTTACTGACATTAAATAGTACTCTGGATTGTATATTGGTATTATATCAGCAATCAGCCACCCTGCCGTCTAGATAACGTCACTAGGCGCTGCAAAATCAATCTCAATTGACCGCTAGTCAAATCACATCTGCTCACAATAGCAGGACTGTATGGCTCAGATCTCCTCCAACATTAGCCAGACTGACACATTTCTGTTCAACCTTTTTACTGAATGACTACAACATATTATCTGCTATGAGGTATTAAGATTCATAATTCTGAAATAAACATGTAAGACAATATTTTAATGCATTAATGTATAAAATGAGCTGCAGCAGCAAAAGGAAAAAAGGAAAAGGAAAAACAGCTCTTCTCAGTGCTGTTTGAAGAAGACAATAACTGCATATTTTGCTTTAAGCTATCTTGTGCTTTTTTTATATATATAATTATGTAGCTGTAACAAAAAACTGTTTTTACTTTAACAGTGAAAGAAAAATAGCTTTAGCACAGGGGCATTGTGCAATGTTGTTATTGTTAACTAAAGCTATTAATAAAAAAAACTACATACATTTACATATATATATATATATATATATATATATACACACATATATTACAATTATATACATATTAGAATTATATAACATTTAAAATTTTGTTTTACAAATTAACTAAATTCAAGATAAAGTACTAAAATTTCTAAAACTGAAATAAAAACAAAGCTAAATAAAAATATGAAATAAAAATGATAAAACAAATTTACTAAAACTTAAAACTTAAATTAAAATAATATATTTTGTATATACTTTTTTATATAATAATTTGTCATTTTTAAGGGGACACCAGTGGCACATTTGGATTAATTGTTCCTCTGTGCAAGTAAAAAAAAAACACATAGTTAATAATATACTTTTGACTTTTTAATAAGTCTCAAAGCTAAGTATAAATAAATACACACACACAAAAACTAAATAAACAAAAGGCGATTTGTGTGACATCAGCGTATTTTCATTTTAAACGTGCTGAGGCTATTTCGGCTCTAAGGAAGCTGCTGGTAAATGTTCAGTGGAAGTGGAAATCAAGTGCATGTTGATAGCGCTGACAAATGAATCTGCGCAAGGTACTATAAACTCCTACATGCAATTTGGACTCGTCATCTTGTGAATCACTCCCTCACCAAATGCTCCACCATCTGACTGCCTGAGAATAAATCTGGAAATTATCATCATAAGCCAAATCTTACAGTGGTCCTTACAAACATGGCCAATCCAATAGAGAAACAGTTCTAGAAATACGACACCGCCGTATGAACACACCTGAAACGCTCCTGTCCTGCTGTATCCCAGATCTGGAGCTTGACAAACTTAGAGGCATACTGACACATTTCATTGAAGAAATTAGATGTGTTAATGTGCATACAGTTACTTCTTTGCAGGTGTTGATGCTATGTAGATGGATCTAACTGCCTACATATTCAACAAATTATGTGGCACTTTATGTTGCAGTATATCAAGAGTTTTCAGTTACTCTACAGGTCGTTTAAATCTGAGCCCTTATATATAGAATCAATCCACTCTTTATGACACTAATAGCATAAACAGCACAGACACAACCAGATTCCTGATTTTTTTTATCAGAGCCTTGCAGAACAACATATGGCTTGTTAGTTTAAGGTGACTGGGAAAATACACCATGCGTTGTGCGGTGCATTAACAGTGAGGGTTTTCACTGGGTGCCTACATCTGCGATCAGTGCGTCGGTGTTTCTGTCTTTTCAAACGCAGCATGCTCTTAAGCGGCTGTTTATCCTGTAGCACAGTATCCTCTGTGCAGACAAATGCTAAAGATTTAACTCTGGGATTAAGTAGCACACTCTAAATCACAACCACACTGAATACCACTGCTGTGTTCTGTCCAGAAAAGGAGAAAGCTGCTTGACAGATTAACGTGGTGAAAAGGAAGAAAAGTTTCTCTAGACACTGAGCTTATATGAGCCCCGTGTTGGATATGTAAAGTCACTGGACTTTTTTCTTTGAAAGTTTGCATAGTAGTGTTTCATTTCATGAATGATTCTTTGTTTTAAACAAATCATTCTTGTTCACTAACTTACACAAACTGACTCGTTCACTCGTTCAAAAGCTTCTTCCAAAATCAATCACTCATCCACTCATTCACTTTATTTTGTACACAGTAAATGACACATATAGTGCACTATGGCACGATTTCACAGCTTCTGCCTTTAGAAGTGCGTGACTAATTTCCAGACTGACTATAGAAAGCTAAGAGCATATTGCATTATATAGCATATAGAAAGGAGAATTTGATTAATTAGACCTAATGAACAAACATAAAACTTAAAACTTAAATTAAAATAATATATTTTGTATATACTTTTTTATATAATAATTTGTCATTTTTAAGGGGACACCAGTGGCACATTTGGATTAATTGTTCCTCTGTGCAAGTAAAAAAAAAACACATAGTTAATAATATACTTTTGACTTTTTAATAAGTCTCAAAGCTAAGTATAAATAAATACACACACACAAAAACTAAATAAACAAAAGGCGATTTGTGTGACATCAGCGTATTTTCATTTTAAACGTGCTGAGGCTATTTCGGCTCTAAGGAAGCTGCTGGTAAATGTTCAGTGGAAGTGGAAATCAAGTGCATGTTGATAGCGCTGACAAATGAATCTGCGCAAGGTACTATAAACTCCTACATGCAATTTGGACTCGTCATCTTGTGAATCACTCCCTCACCAAATGCTCCACCATCTGACTGCCTGAGAATAAATCTGGAAATTATCATCATAAGCCAAATCTTACAGTGGTCCTTACAAACATGGCCAATCCAATAGAGAAACAGTTCTAGAAATACGACACCGCCGTATGAACACACCTGAAACGCTCCTGTCCTGCTGTATCCCAGATCTGGAGCTTGACAAACTTATTGACCACACTGATTACCTTCGAGCCAAATTCAACCCCAATAGTGTGATTTGAGTCATCTTTGACTGGAGGAATAAGGAAAAGACATCAGCAACAGAACAGTGACATTTGTGATATTTCATAGACTTGTTTCTCAATGTTGAATGGCAAGACAACAGAAACTGACATACATCTTTTTTCTATAAAATGATGAAGCAGACAAGATTTTCCAGTTCCTGCATTTCCTATCACAAGGAACTTAAACAGGAAATCTAGAGGGGAGGAAAACAAAAACAATAAAGATGTTTTGTCAAGAACTGCATAGAATTCTCATAATAAATAAAAGAGTATAGGAATGCTACTATATCAAACATTAACCAGACTATAGGCTATTAATACTCAGTCATAATCTGTACACTAAAGAGATATGTCATAACATCCAGGTTATATCCAAATAAATAACGGCTTTCTATAGTCATTGTTATTGTCAGTACTGTATTAATTGACTAATCAAAGATTAATAAACACTTATATGAATGGTGTCGACAGATGAAACATATGGCAGACAGATAGCTGCTGCCTAGCTGGCACTGAACAGAGCTTGTAAGCAAATACTGTGATGAATGAGCTCGGGACACCTGCTAAAATTCATTATATGCTGTCGATAAGAAGTGTGGCAGGAGAAAAGGAAAGGGAAAAAAGTTTGGACAAAATAGTTGAAGGAATGATTCAATGACTCACTTATAACAAAGAATTCACCTATGGCCACCTATTGCCCACATACCCTGCAGAAAGGATCTTTTTAGTTAACTAATTCAAAAGATTTGATTTGAGATGAATCAAAATACTGATTTGATTTGGAAAAGTTCAGTTAATTCAGAGATTTCAGTTTTGTTTGTCTGGTATTCATTGTATCTTTCTATTACTTTAAATTAAGGAAATATCACTTTGGGGCTTGCATTTATTTTGTTAAATTTACAATGTAATGGAAGTAGCAACATGCAGATAATTTCTTACATTTGATTAAAATGGATAGAGATGGAGGCAGATGTGAATTGATTGGAGAAGTCTGGCATACGTCATCAGAGAGAAGACCGAGTTATGATATTTAGATAAAAATATAAAAAAAGGAATGTCTACAACATATTATCTGTTTATCTGAAATAAACATGCAAGACAATGTTTTAATGCACATTATTGTATAATAAAATGAGCTGCAGCAGCAAACAGAACAGTGCCAAAAGCTCTTCTCAGTGCTGTTTGAAGAAGAGACTAATTGTGTAATATTTAGCATCAAGCTGTCTTGTGATTTTTTTTTTTAATAATTATGTAACTGTAACGAAAAACAAACTGTTTTCACTTTACCAATGAAATAAATAGCTTTCTCTCAGGGGCATTGTACACAGTGTTTTCATTGTTAACTAAAGCTATTAATAGCTTATATAAATTTAAAATTTAATATGTACAAAACTAAAAATGTTGCCTTGCAAACTAACTCAATTCAAGTAAGATAAAGTATTACAATTTCTAAAACTAAAATTTAAATAAAAATAAATAAAAATATAAAATGAAACTGATAAAAAACTAATAGAAATTTAAATAGCACACAACAAATTTACTAAATCTTAAACTGAATAAAAACTGAAAATATATTTTTAAAAATAAAGGTTTTTTTGTTTATTTTAATATTTTTTTATATAATAATTTCTAATTTTTTAAAGGAGCACCAGTGGCACATTTGGCTTAATTGGTGCCCTGTGCAAGTAAAGACAAGATTAAAGAAAAGAAAAAAATCATAGTTTTTTATATTTTTAATAAGTCTCAAAACTATGTATAAACACACAAAAAACCCTACATAAACAAAAGGTGGTTTGTGTGACATCAGCATATTTTCATTTTAAATGCACTGAGGCTATCTTGGCTCTAAGGAAGCTGCGGGCAAATGTTCAGTGCAAATTAAGTGCATGTTGATAGCGCTGACAAATGAATCTGTGCAAGGTACTATAAACTCCTACATGCAATCTGGACTTGAATCACTCCCTCCCCAAATGCTCCACCATCTGACTGCCTGAGAACAAATCTGGAAAATATCATCATAAGCCAGATCTCACAGTGGTCCTTACAGACAAGGCCAATCTAAGAGGGAAACAGTTTTAGAAATATGACACAGCCGTATGAACACACCTGAAACGCTCCTGTCCTGCTGTATCCCAGATCTGGAGCTTGACAAACTTATTGACCACACTGATTATCTTCGAGCCAAATTCAACCCCGATAGTGTGATTCGAGTCATCTTTGACTAGAAGAACAAGGAAAAGACATCAGCAACAGAACAATGACTGTCAGTTCATAGATTTGGTTCTGAATGTTTAATGATAAGATAACAGAAACTGACATACATCTTTTTTCTATAAACTGATGAAGCAGACAAGATTTTCCAGTTCCTGCATTTCCGATTACAAGAAACTTAAACAGGAAATCTAAATGGGAGGAAAACAAAAACAACAAAGATGTTTTGTCAAAAACTGCATAGAATTCTCATAATAATAGGATAGTATAGGAATGTTACTATATCAAAATATTAATCAAGACTATAGGCTATTGACACTGGTCATAATCTAATGTAGACATTAAAGTGGTTTGTCATCAAGTTATATCCAAACAAATAACGGTCTTTCTATAGTCATTGTTACTATAAGTACTGTTTTAATTGACTAATCAAAGATTAATGAACACTTCTATGAATGGCGTCGACAGATGAAACATATGGCAGACAGATAGCTGCTGCCTAGCTGGCACTGAACAGAGCTTGTAAGCAAATACTGTGATGAATGAGCTCGGGACACCTGCTAAAATTCATTATATGCTGTCGATAAGAAGTGTGGCAGGAGAAAAGGAAAATTAGTCACACTACCGTATGTCTCTGACATGACTGGCGCTGTGTTTCTAGTCTGTTTATACTATGTTTCCTTCTTTCAAGGCAATCAACAAGGATATCAAATAAAGGGAAATCCCTTCGAGGGTTTCGCGCATCCTTGTCGGAAGATTGTGTAGCAGCTACTTCCTGTTGAGATTTTCAAAATAAAAGTCAAGGAATCTTTGCAAAATGACACAAAATGCACGATTTTTCTAAAAGTAATGAAAAAAAATATTTCATTTTATTCTTGGTCATGAGTGTTTTTCTTTTCTTTTTTTGGGTGTATTTGACAGAAATGCATGTAAATCTAAATGTTTAAGATGTTTGATTTGAGATGAATCAAAATACTGATTTGATTTGGAAAAGTTCAGTTAATTCAGAGATTTCAGTTTTGTTTGTCTGGTATTCATTGTATCTTTCTATTACTTTAAATTAAGGAAATATCACTTTGGGGCTTGCATTTATTTTGTTAAATTTACAATGTAATGGAAGTAGCAACATGCAGATAATTTCTTACATTTGATTAAAATGGATAGAGATGGAGGCAGATGTGAATTGATTGGAGAAGTCTGGCATACGTCATCAGAGAGAAGACCGAGTTATGATATTTAGATAAAAATATTAAAAAAAGGAGGTTAAAAAAATATATAAAATGAAATACGCAAGGGATTGCTTTGCAGGGTAAAAAAACAAAAGCACAGAAGTATCTCACTTGAAAAATAAGTTTCAAAATAGGAGATGGTTAACCAAGTGTTAACCATGCCTCAGATGTCAGATAAACAGGGCTAAAAATCACTCAAAGACTGCCTGGGTGGCGATACTCGGTATCCTGGTCTTAAAACCTTGACTGGCCTGCATTTAAAGTGATTTGTGGCCAGCTCTCTATTGTCAGCACCACGCAGCCAAATTCACTTAATAATTTGATGTAATATGTATGAGGGAGTTTGGTCATTGGATATTCATCCTAAAGGTCACAGCTGAGCTACTCATTATTTCAGTAGTAACAGGAGCTGATGCTAGCTACATGCTATCTCAGCTATCTCCCATAATGATGCATGTCACTTGTTATCAGAATGTTTAATACGCTCAACCAAACTGCAATAATTTAACAGAGAAAATGTCTCTCATAGTTTCTTAAAGGCTTTTTATTGAAGGCACCCTTTCATGCGGCCCTGCCTCCATAGCACTTCATGAGCACAAAGAGTTTGCCATTGTTCCCCACACATCACTATTGGAGACAGACAGCCTGGGAGGCAGTATTATTTTTTAATTAACTATTTTTTTCCAAACCATTGTTAGATGCAGTGTTTCCTAATCTGCATTGAACTTCAGATCAATCTCAAAGTAAAAGGCGGTACTAAAGTCTGATTTTGTGGTGGATGTGTTCAAATTTGATCATCTTAATTCAAGTGATGAAGGATTTTGAAAGTCTGACAGTTGTTGAGCACTACTGTAAGGTTAACCCTGCATGGTGTAAATGTTTGAAAATGATTAACAGTTGCAAATAAACATTCATTAGAAATTTAGAAAAGTAATCAAAAAGTAATCAAAAGTAATCAGATACATTACTTTAATAAAGTAATTGAAAAAGTTACACTACTATTACATTTAGGTACAATAGGGTAACTTGTAATCTGTAACCTATTACACTTCCAAAGTAACCTTCCCAACACTGCCTGGCACAAAGGGGAGCTGGGATCACTGGCATGTCTGCCTTGGGTCACTGTGAGACTTTAGAGGGCTCTATGGGAACACTACTGATCTCTGCAAGACTACATCACTGTGCTCTGAGTCTCAACATGGTAAACATTCACCTTACACACAGGGCATGGTGTAACTAAACTTACTTAGCTTTACAGCAAAAAAACAAACAAACTGCATAATAAAGCATAATATAGAGTAAGAGTAGGTTCATATTTATACTTATGCTACTGTTTAAAAGTTTGGGTAGTTTGTTTGTTGTTGTGTTTTTTTTTTTTTTAACAAGGATACATTATATTGATCTAAAGTGACAGTAATTACGTTTAAACTGTTCAGTTTCAAATAAATGCTGTTCAATTGAACTTTCTATTCATCAAAGAATCCTGAAAAGGTATCACATTTTTCACCAAAATACTAGGCAGCACAACTGTTTTCAACTGTAATAATAATAAGCAATGTTCCATCATCAATATATTCATATAGAAAACTGTTCTTTTAAATTATAATAATATTTCACAATATTACTGTTTTACTGTATTTTGATATCATTTTTGATGCAAAAAAAAACTTTTTTTTAATTTGCTTGTGGCACAAAATACACTGTATAAAATTAGTAGGGTCCAAATGCCTGAGACCACGTTGAAAATGTTTGATTTAAAATTCCATTTAAAGAGAATAAAATGTATAATAAATATTTAAGATTCAGCAATATTTCTAGCTCACTAATGAAAAAAAAAAAAGCTAATTTCTGACATCAGCTGTGTGAACTTTGCTGTAATGCCATTGGACATTATATTTATACAATTTATACTCTGCAGATAATATAATTTGTGTATATATATATATATTTTTTTTTTTTTGTATTAAATTAGAAAAATATAAAAAAAGAAAACAACATTTTCACCAGTGGTCTCAGACTTTGTCAACTTTAACAGAAATCTGATCTCTGTCTCTGATTCCCACAGTCCGATGCCTTTGAACCAGACTAGCTGGTAAATGTTTGATGGTTTAGAGATGGTCAGGACCAAGAACACCATGATAGATTGACTTGATCTGTGACAATATGCTTGAGTTGAATGTGTGTCTCTTTTGGAAAGTGATTGTATTCACCAGGCCTCGAACCGAATACTAATGGGGTGAGCCTAGCTGTCATGATGTAGATGCACAAGTCAATTGTTCCACTCATGACCCTTTCGAGTCTCCGTGGAAATAGATAGATCCTGTCAGAAGGGTTCATGTACTCAAAAACAGAAGCTACGACTATCTTTCCCAAGGTACCAGGGTATGAAGTCATGAATACACACCAACAATAATAAAGACAGATAAAGTCCAGAAGCATGCAATAAACATTAATATGACTCATAACTGTTTTTCTGGACAAATTAGCCCAGCTGTTGTATCTATTACAGCTGCAGCCCTTATGGTGTCCTCAGAAGCAGAAGACATCTGTGGGAATTGCAACACTGTATTTTTTTTAATGTTTGCTCAAAATTAAACAATAACAAACTAATATAAACTTACACTGTACAATCCTTCCAGATGAAAGGAAAGAAAAGCTCACATTCTTTCAAAATTAGGATCAGATTATTTGCCCATGGCCACGTTCACACTTAAATTAAACAGATTGGCTTTCACCGCCAATGACGTGGACCTTAGAAAAACACTGATCTTTTATTCATTGTGTCTTTCATGCCGGAGGGGCGAAACACAATCGCTGATAATTAGAATATATAGAGTTGAGCACTGTAGACTAGCAGAGCATGGACGAATTTAATAATTTGGATTAAATATCAAAATATCAAATGCCATTTACATCCTTTATCCCACATAAGTAATACATTTAATAAATCAGCTTTCCGCTTTGCCATCAAAGGAATAAATTACATTTTAAAATATATTTAAAAAGAAAACAGTTATTTTAAATTATAATAATGTTTTGCAATATTATTGTTTTACTGTATTTCTGATCATATAAATGCAGTCTTGGTGAGCCTAAGAGACATATTTAAAAAAAAAAAAAGTATTATATAATTAAAATCATTAAGATTAAATTATACAAATATTAATATAAAAGAAAAATTTCTGTAGTTCTACACCAGGAAACTGTGGTTGGACTGCTTGGTTTGGGAGCTGATGAGGTGAAAATAACTGTAAATATAATATCCCAATGAATCATCCATTTAAAAGAGCTGGAATTGTGCAGGGTTTTTACAAAGAAATGGGCGGGAGGAGGCAGGGATGGCTCCAGGAGATAAGGCAGATAAATGCAATTGCAGATTTATCTCATTGAGAACGTGCTTGGATCCCTGTCATGAGCCTTTGCACAGGCCTCACACATTCATATGAGATGCAGTCCTTGCATGACAATCTGCTGTCATCATTACACACCAGTGAGTTTCCCCACACATTTTGGATATGAATCAGGTCTGAAATACTGTCTAAAACAACAGTGCGGTGTCTTTATCATTTCCCTGTATATGTGCATGTCTGTGACCCCTCCAACTTACAGTTTGATACCAAGCTGTTTTTTTTTTTTAAATGCCATAAGCAACTGATCATATGGTTGAATTGAATAGTGGGTGAAATCAGAGAAATAGATTAATATGCTGTCCAATGCAATGCAGCCAGGGGATATAATTGAGGTTTCCATATGCTGACCTATTCTTCTTGGCTGTCTCCAGCAGTTACATAACTGATTCCATATAGCATAATCATAGACATTTTTATTGGCAGAAACAGCTGACTTCTGGTCATTTTCTAAATCGTACTTCCTTACTTCACTGTAGCTTGAGTATTCTGCCATACAAAGGCAAAATGCAGTAACTACTTAAGAGGAACTGGAAAAGATGGCTACAAAGTTTTTAGATTGATTTGATATCAGTTTACATACATTTTGTCTGAATCTAAGCATAGTTGAGCCAACACAACGTGTCACAAAACAGGTCATAGTCTAATGTCATTTTACGCTGCAAAGGTGGAACAGTAGGTGCGTATGAAATCAGTCACGTGACTTTTTCCGCATCAGCAGGGCAAAGTATTGGCAATGAATTAAAAAAAAAATTGATCATTGGATGTGATCTTTACAAAAAAAAAAAATTTGTCATGAAAGATAATAGAGAAAAAAATATATATATAAAATTATCTGCCAATACAAATGTATAAAAACATAATTTCCAGTGTGTTTTCCAGTGTTTAGCAAAGCATGATAGCATATATGTTTTGACTGAGTGTATGTGTGTAGCCTATGTGAGATAAATATATAATGCTTTCCTTGTTTATAGCATTTATCACTCTCTGACCACTTATAATGACTTGGCTAACATGTTTTTATTCAGTAAATCTGGTCACAGCTTGTTCTGCATTGCTTTTCCATGTTGTTAACTCTGTTTTTCCCTCCGCCTTCTTTTCTCCAAAACACGGCTGGA